ATATGATATATAACTAACCAACTATCTCCAAACAGTTTGAGGATGGGTCAATACCTATCATGTTCTGTCGATTTTTTGGGATGAAGTATCCTTTGCAAATCCAACAGTTTGCTTCGAAAAAACACCGCTTGGAGATAATTTTATGGTTTCCTGTGCTAAGAACATAGGGGATTTGTCATGAAATGGTGATGTAGCCCACACTGGTACAAATGAAAGTCGATAGAAATGGGATGAGCATCCCCAAAGACTTCTGGGGTTTGAAGTGCTTGGCTTATGGCTTTACCCTTGGGTAAATTATATAGATGTTACTATATAGAGAATCATATGATGTCTAGAATTCTAGAAAATGATCAACATTTATGGTGGCTGTTCATGGCTGTTCCACATCGTTAGTTACAAATTGGTGTTTTGGATACTGCCAGTGGCCAGACGAGGTGAAGACCTTGAAACTCTACAAGGCCGTGGACATCGACGGTTGCTCCTTGACCCTTGGATCCGGGCAGATCGTGGTGACGTTGGAGAAATGTGCCGCGGAGCCATGGCCACAGTTGCTGAAGGAAGTGGAGGGCTTGTACCTCTGAGATCCTTGAGTTGAGAAATTTGAGGCCGGTTGTTTCGGATGTAAGTTAAAGGGAACATCTTTGCAGGAAACCTTGTGAAGTATTTGAAGGGAACATTGAGAACATGTTTGCAAGCAAGCGTGACCTGTGAACATACAAGAATACTATCGGATACAAGGCTCAACAGAAACGGGCGATCATTCATTTCGCCCATGCAAATTTCAGACCTGAAGCCATGAGGTTTCCTGCAATTTGTCCCATCAAACCCTCTGACGGAGATCTCACTGGTCCGGCAGCTGCAAAAAAGGTCCGCTGAGGAAAGCTGAGGCGATGGGAAAATCCTTCCCTAGGGCCGCATCAGGGCTAGTCTCAGCTCGTTTCGCTGGACCTTGTCTCTCAAAGTAACCAGGGGAGATGGGTTAGGAGTACCAACATTTGGGGGTGACACATTCGCTTCCTCTACTCCCCGGTGGTGCAGCTTGTGTGGTTTATCCGGCGCTGCAGGTTATAAGTTGTGCTGCAAGAAAACCTGTGGTTGATTTTCATCATAAGTGGGACAGAACACCCTGTAATTGGGGTTTATATTTCATCCGATCTACCCCAGTTCCAAGCTAACTGGGGAATGCTGCTACAGTACTTCCTTGTCTACTTTGATACTATCCTGCAATGTCCTGCATAAATGGAGAGGACATACTGACAGATTGATGATTCTTAAAGATGGCAATGATGATCAGTCCGCGTCTGTATACACATGCATGCACACTCCTTCCTGTCCGGTTCAGCAGCTGTAGGCACACATGTCCAGCAAATCCAGAAGTGCTTTTTGGGGCATCGTGCAGGAAACTTGAAGATTTCTGTGTTTTCAACCCATGGTTTGTAGTTACTAAGTATATGTTTATATATATATAGTTTTCATTTTTTTTCCATAGGTTATCCTTGATTTCCATATTTTTGCCACAGGTTGTTATCCTACTGTTATCCTTAGACGCCACCTCAATGGCGTCTCCGGACTTCGTCCCCTAAGGATCACCCAGCAGTTGCGCGACGACGAGAGTGGTGGCTCCGACTATGAATGAGTGCGGCCATCACTGGGTCGGCCCGCCTTCCAGAGATTTCCAGACGAGCTTTGATGAGGTTTGATGAGGTCTGTTTGAGAACAAACAATGACACCAATGTTGGTGGACAACATCCAGTTTTCGGCAAAATTTCTTTGTTGCTGATGACAGGACATGCATGGACATGCAGACATGCTCACAACTTGGTTTGGAGTGCATTGATTGGGAGACCATGAGAGGCAATTCCAGTTTGATTGCCTTTCCACAATTGCAACATTTGAAATGGCAGGCAGCTTATTTTGATGTGGATTGGTTGCCTTGGGTCACCACGGAGATTACTCAATCTGTGTTTGCTTTCCATTATGTTCAAACCATCCGCATGTTCCATGTTTTTCTCAACCTTTTCGCACGGCAATACCAGAGCTCCAGCAGATAGGAATCAACACGTCTGAGAAGTCAGAGGGCTGCGGCAACAAGTTCATGGGGATCATGCTAGAAATATCTAGAAAGCATGTACGTAAATCATCGTACATCTATAATCATATATATCAATGGTTCATTTGGTTCATGAGGATGAGTTTGAAAAAGATCGATGTAGAGAGATGTAGAGATATTAATCTGGTTGGTGGTTTCAAACATTGTTTATTTTCAATAGTATATGGGATAATCCTTCCCATTGACTTTCATATTTTTCAAGATGGTTAAAACCACCAACCAGTACTCAAATTTAATCAACCTAAGCTTTCAAAGTCCTCATGTGATGAATTCCTGGTGCCATCCACCCTGATCCACATAAGTTGAGTCCGCGCAAGAAGCGCTGGGACCTCAGCCTGATCTCCTGTCAGCCTCCAAAGGGGGACGGCCCGGGGATGGATGTGGGACAAAAACATCCTGTAGAAATTGTGAAGTTTGTGGAACATTTTTTTTAAAATGAAGATACGGCCAATTTCTTTCAAATCCTCCACTTCTGGGAAGACCTTTGAGAAACAAATGCTTTCATTGAGTCTTTGAAAATTCTTCTACAGTGGTTTTTGAGGCATCCTGAAGCATCCAGCCAAGCGTTTTGTTGCACCTTTTTCTCATAACCAGAGCTTTGCTCATGAAATAATGTACAATTATAGGGACCGTGCTGGATTTCACGGATTAGGGGCTCCCAAAGTGCTTAAGGATGTTTTGGGAGATATTGCGAATCAATGGATGTTCCAAGATCCACCACAACTCACATCCACTCACCTGCAACTCCGCGCTTGCCGCGTTTTGGGACACGAAACAACGTGGCATCCCGAAGTCGTTAGCAAAGGCGGAACATGGGCCCGGGCACTGTTGGGTGATTCTTGATGTGTGGGGCCAAACTGCTATCTGGTTGGAGGTCCTACCCTCCAGTAAATGGAGGTTTCCATAAATGGGGGTACCCCAAAAGGGATGATTTGGGGGTATCGGTATCCCCACTTTAGGAAATCCCCAAATGAAAATGAACGTAGAAAAGAAAAGCCATGTTTCCCAAGGACAATGACCTACTGACAGACAGTGGTTGTCCCTGCGCTGGTCAAAATAGTGTTTACATTCCCATAAGAGGGGATGGTCATCAATCCATTTTCATATAATATGTTATAACATACACCTATAATATTGTATATCCATTATGTTATGATATAATATGTTGTGGAATATAATCAAAATAATATCCAATATTGTTACAATGTATATAATATACACCTATAATATTGTAACATTGTAAGGATTCCCACTGGATGAATGACAAGCCTTCATCCCCAAGGTAGCTTGACCATGCTTGACCATGGGAACCATGTTCCAGGATGATGATCTGAGTAGAAATTACCAGGCTTTGTTTGTGTGTGTCTCTCAAAGATTGCTCTCATATATTATCAATATGTAAATTATGTATTCATATGTCAGATATATGTCAGATAAATCCAGATAGAGCCCGGCATATTTAAGGCTGCAACGTACTCAAACTGGCAAGGAACTCAAACTGCAGCTGTTTCTTTTCTCAGCCGGTTTGGCGTTGAAATCTCCATTGGCAGATGAACCGTAGGCGATTCCCATGTTTTCCCATAGGCTAAACAACGGTAGTACTACCGTAGTTTATGCATATATGATCCTATATTATGTATATGACAAACTTTGTTCCAAACATAGGCCATTGATCTGGGCAGTTATACCATACATGGATGGTATGGGTGTATATATATATATATCATTATATATATATATATGTAATTATATAATATATATATATATATACACCCATAGTTCCCATAGATATATCCCTGGGTTATATCGATGTTATACCATTGCTGTAATTCTATCTCTACATATATATATATACCCACATATTCTATCTATGGTTCTCTGCTATCTATGTTAAATAACCAGAGGGTGTATATAACCCTCCTGCATGGTGGCTTTTTGTTCCAGCTTTGGACGCTGAGGTCATAGCCGATGTAGCTGCGGATGGGCTCATGGTCGAATTCGCGCAGAGAGAACCCGAGGAAACCGTGGCCGAAGGGGCCCAAGTGGTCCATGATTATGTAAGGTTAAGCTGGATTATTCTAAACTTCAGTAGCATCCATAATTATCCATAAAAATCATAATTATGGATGATTCTAAACTGACCCTTTGGTAAACTACGGAAAAGCACCATTTTAAGAGGTAAGTCAACGGACTAAATGGCCATTTTCAATAGCAAACTGTTCAATTACCAGAGGGTAAGTAGCATCCATGAATCCATCAAAAAATGGTACCGATACTTTCTATTAAACTAAGTGCCCAAGTTCGAGTGTTTATTTGCATATGGGGTACCCCAAACATCATTAGTCCCCATGAACATTGCCATATCTGCAGGGGGTAGGCCCAAAGCTCCCCCGAAATCAGCAGCTGTTCATGGGATGATACCAACAAAAAGGAAATTTCTCACCTCATTACAGGTTTCCAGAATAGGTGTAGCAAACCTCTATTTTTCAGAGTAAAACTATGATATTTCCATGATATTTCCATGATATTTCTGGTATATTTTCTCTGGGAAATCAACCCATAGATGGTTGGTGTTTGATGGTTGTTGTTTTTAAACTTCAGCCAGACTTCTGGGCTTCTTCTTGTACTGGATGATGGACCATCGAATCGACAATACTTCGGCCGCTCAACTTCGTAGACACCTAAGTTGAGTGGAAATTGGGGCGCTTCATAGCTACTTAAGGCTTGGGATAATAATCTTTGGTGGGATCTCTTTCCAGTGAAGAACAGCAGATCCAACTCTGACTGGGTTTGTTGAAGAAAAAAGAGGAATACCCCAAAATTATCATTTTTCAACGGACCATTTTTTGATCGTTCACAGTTTTTCTTTCGTCAAAACCAACGTTTTCCAACGAAAGCAACGCTTTTGAACTCTTCACAGATCGGGATCCCGAGCCGGAATTTTTGAGTCCCCATGTGACTTTCCTATTGCTGATGCATACTGTCCATTTTACTTTGGGATGTGTACAATTGTTTACATATTGACTATACATTTGGTTCATTTTTTGGAGGGTAGATATACCACAAAAATCCAACTGGATGGGTACCCTGACCCTCCAAGTACCTACGAAATCCCATAGAATTGAGCCATGATCCATGGAGGAAAAGCGGGGGACCATCCAGACCACCATCTACTTGGTGCCTTGGAAGCCTCAGAACTGGAGGATACCCGGCCTGGTAAACATACAAAAAAACTATTGAACATGGCTATTTATAGTGGATTTACCCATTAAAAATGGTGATGTTCAATAGTTATGTTAGTTTACCAGAGGGTACTATATCAGGGTCATTCTCATAATTAGTTTCCGCTTGCGGATTTTACTTGCTGTATCACATTCCACCTTGTTTCAGTTCTCTGAAGCCCCGAAGGCCCGAAGTCTGAAATGCAGATGTATTCATGCCGTTTCTGAAAACAGGAGCCCGCCTACCTTGTTGATTGTGAGTGGAACACCCAACATGATGTGATGGTTGAATGGGTATCACCCTAGATGAAGCGAGTCGAATGGCCTATCAAACCTATCAAATAATCCCTTCCCCTCACCATATAAATGCCCCCTATATGCTTTCGTATTGGATCCCTTCATTTCGGGCTGTCTTTGGGGGATATTTCATGTTATAGGGGGAAGCTATATAGGGAGAAGGGTCTCTATTCAATGGTACAAACTTTGATGGTTTCTACGTGGATGCTTGTGCCACTTGATAGGCGGTCAATGTGACCCTCGTTGTGCACACGTGAAGCCATGGACATGTTGTTTATTTGATCAGGTTTGCAACCTTTTATCATTTTGTGCTCGGTATTATTATTATTCACGTCGCTTCGCGACGGCAACCGCCTGCACCGCATCGTTGGGCAGCCGCTCGTAACTGCCAATGATGTCGGCCATTGAGACCAAAAACATCCGAAAGTACTGATTGTCGGAAAAAAAAACGCGAAGAATTTGATAGCCATGTATAGCGGACCAACACAGTTCAAAAAATAACGAAAAACATGAAAAAACGGCGAAATTGCTGTTATTTACAGTGTTTTTGCGCGGTGAGAAGCAGAAACCACTGCAAATACCATGGTTTTGAGGGTCAGGTGGCCAAAAACACTGTAATTTACAGTGTTTTTTTAACCAACGTCAAAAAACACTGGTATTTACGATGTTTTCATTCACACCGTAACATAAAACAGCGTAATTTACGAGGTTTTTGGAAGTTTTGAAGCTAGCCGTCAAGCATGCAGAAAACAGAAAACCACTGTAAAAACCAGTGTTTCTGCTATCACAAAACGACGAAAATCAGTCCGAAAACGGGTCCAAAAACTCAAAAATCCGCCTCCGGGCCCGGCCACCTGCGGAACCGCAAAAAAAGATGTTGCAAACCAAAAAATTGAGGTCAAAAAGTTGAAAAACACGGGGTTTTTTCACTTTTCGCTTGCCGATTTTGGACGGGCGCGTTCACGAACAGGTGTCTTCCGTACTGTTTTTTACAGTGTTTTTTGAAGGCGAGCGTCACGACCTATCAAAAACAGGAGGTTTTGGACGAAAAATGCCCCCCCCCCCCAGGTAAACCTGTAACCTTTTTACGAGTGCCATCCGGAAGATCACGCCCCAGCACCTTCGGTGCGGGCGGATTTTTTTAAATTTATGCAATTGGTATTCATCTACAATTATTATTAAATGTTATCAGCATTTTTCAACCAATTGCATCCAATTGCTTCAATGGGATTATCAACCCTAAACTCTAAACCAATCGCCACTAGGCCAACAATTCCGCCCCCGTGGGCCCCATGCCCACATCATCCATGTTGGCGGAACGTGATATACCCAGATTTACCTCCCAAATTATGTAATCATGCAGGTAAATACATCAAATTTGATTGTATAAGCATCTGAAATAATGTTGTCAGACCAAGAATCACACACTATCCAATAGATTAATAAATGATATAAAGATATGTAAAGGAGATACATTTATCATCCAATAACTAAATGAATGTTTCATCGAGATGAAGTGACCCCAGCCATGTTAGGTATTGATTAGATATTGTTGGATCACCAGATGGAAAGTCCAACTCCATCTTTGTTGGTTGAGTATGAGCATTGTTAAAGCAGGGAAAGCAGCATGTTTGCTGATCAAATCACATTTTTCGTGGTTACAGAATGATTAAACACATGCGTCTTGGTTAAATTATGATTGACTGATAAAATTATTTGAACCGTTTGTCTGTGAGATCATGATTCAGTTCAGAACTTTCTGAAGAATTATGGTTCAACAGCTAAACACATTCAACCACAATCATTTTTCCGAAACAAATCATGGTTATAAACACATAATCATGATGACATTGCTCATAATACCACATGATA